GGAGGGATTTTATTATGTAAATTCTTGGGGTATGAAATTTTCTGGCGGGAGGGGAATAGCGCGGTTGAGAGAAGCCATTTATTGTACCCACATTTTTTAGTGGTGAGAATTTTTAGAGAGTCCTGGAAGCTCGGCTGAAAGAGGAATTTCGATGTTGAAGACAAAGTTTTTTTTTCACGAGATGATTATCCAACGTTTCTGATAATTTTATGAAGAAAAAAAGAAAAAAAGGGGAAAGCAAATTTCATTCTGAAGCTCAAAATAATATCTTCAGAATGAAAATAAAATTATGAAATTCCACTTTGTTATCTCCGAGTTTGCCCCACTCGTCCCTACATTGTATCACACATTCAATCTTAGGGACACATTATCATGGTTATAGTACATTAACGTACTAGTTGGAAAATGGCATATTCGACGAATGTCAGGTTTATTGTATCACATTCGTCAAAGATGGCCTTTTCCAGCGAGTGAATTATATTACTTTATGTTCGTAGGCTCGAAAACCGCGTTCAAAGCGGGCGAAACGAAGTTAGAAACCCATTTTATCGAACACAGCAACATAAACACGTTCATTTCATCCTAAAACTCCCAATACTCCCTCCCCATGGAAATTACCAAGCGAGACTGTAGTAAAATCGAACGACATGGAAAAAAGACATCACGAAAAAAAGTCAAGTGCATCGACAATAGATACTAAAGTGCCAATAACAGCTGGGGAAACACAAAGATCGAGGCAAAGTAGAGGAGGTACGAACAATGGCAGACGGGTTACGACCGTAGCGCCCTCCGGCATCAAATCTCAGACCTATCACTTGGTACAATGCGAAAACGAGAGTTCCCGTCACGAAATGCTTCTTTCGTTTCTCTTTTTTTCATTTTACCTCTTAATCGAAATATAAATATCGTGACAAGGGCTCACTGAGGAGAATTGAGGCGTTAACGCACTGCACGAGCTTGTCGACAGGGTTCTTGAACTCCTTTGATTGTTTGATCCTGATTTGAGCGATGGAGACGTCACCCAACCGTTGCCAATGAGTGAATTAAGGTACTTTATGGTCCTGGGCCGGAAAATCGTTTTTTTTTTTGACACGACAGCGTTAAAGTTTAAACCGTTGTTCCAATTTGCGAATTTAGCTCCAATGATGACGAGATTGACGTTTACGGGAGGGTTACGACCTTACCGATCTACCAGTGAAGCCCTCCATTTTCTATGGCTATCGGGGTAAATCGAATTTGTCTGGTCGTTGGTCCCCGAGGCGACGCCTCTATCGTACTGGGGTTACATTTCTCTCCCGCCAGCCACAGGGGAGATCACCTGGGCTTTCTTGCATGGTTCAAACCAACACGCGGTTGAGTTTCAATAAATAAATGAAAGCCGTGTGACGCCCGGAGCTTCCACACGGCAGCGGGAAAAGCTCGAAACAGAGGGGTTTCCATTTCCATTTTTTCCGGTGTAGTCAATTGAGATAGGAATCTCTCTAATTAATATCGGAAATTGTATTTTGATATACTCAAATATTTGGATGTGCGCTTTCAGACCGCACGCGGGATTCATTAAACAGAGGGGATTTAATTGAATTCGCAATTTAATCTCGTTCTATTGAAAGTTTTATGGTACCCAGGTAGGAATTATATAGGCTGACGATGGAAACAAGCCTGTGCGAGCCTAGGTTTGCGAGGGTCAGTGACTCAGGCCTGGGACGGGCGTGATTTCATCGTTCACTCGAGCCTGAAACGAGGGCGATTCAAGGGGCCATTGCCGAGGTGCAATTCAGGCCTAGCCCAGGCTTTGAGTATTGAGGCTCAGTACGTCAAGGCTTATTCGAGCCTCTGCAAGGCCTCGAAAATGAAAGTTAGTTTCCATTACATTCCTTAATTTTTATAACGATTAACGTTTCTGATGCTAATGAAACACTCGGAGGCGCCAGATATGTCGAAATACATTTTTTTTTCATCTGGAGCCGAAGTGTCATCTTTGATTTTTTAGGGGAAAGTCGACTTTCGCCGAAATCGAATTTTTCCGCCGAGTGAAGGTCGATACTGTATTTTCTGGCCCGCCTAATGCCGCTGAGACCCTCACTTTACCCCAGAATTATTTGAACACATATCCGTAAACATTAATATGATTTTTTAAAAAAAGTGCGATTGAGCCATTAAAATTTTGAAATTCAAGGCTTGGACCAAGCTTAGCGCCAAGCATTGTTCAAGCCTTATGGACTTAGTCTGAAACGAGGTTATCATTTTGGGGCTGAAGGATGGCTGATCCAAGGCTGAGCTCCAGCCTTGGTTGAGCAATTCCAAGCCTTGCTCCAGGGCTTGATGAGTCCTATTTCTATCGTCAATTCCTACCTGGGTAGTCGGTGATTATTTTGGGGATAATTGAATTTTGTACGAACAAGTCTTGCCACATTCTCTCTTCAATTCTCTCATTATCAACATGCTAATTTAAATGGGAGAAGGAGATAAGTCTACTGTTTTTAAAACCCCAAAATAACATCTTTGTTAATTCCGCAAATATCTCCTGATCGAGTGATCCTACGAAAAATTGTCTTTAAATCATTTCTGCAGCTCTTGAAATTCTCTACAAAAAACATACAATAACAATTCCTCCTAAAACCACTCACTACCGAGATAATTCGCAAATTAGAATGGAATCTCCATTTAAATTTTTCGAAATTGCAATTCTGTTCTGCCGTATCTCATAACGATACTTCAAAACCCGCTCTCCCTCCCCCACCCCTAATTACCCTTCTTAATCACCAATTCTCAGTATCATAATTTTCATTTAAATCCTATCATTAACGAAATGCTAATTTAAATAAGAGAATGAGATAAGTCTACTTATTTAAAAATCCCAAAATAACATCTTTGTTAATTACGCAAATATCTCCTGATCGAGTAATCCTACGAAAAATTGTCCCAAAATCATTTCTGCAGCCCTTGAAATTCTCTACAAAAAACATAATATAACATTTCCTCCTAAAACCGCTCACTGCCAAGATAACCCAAAATTTAGTATGGCATCTCCATTAAAATTTTTTGGAATTGCAATTCTGTTCTGCCGTATCTCATAACGATACTTCAAAACCCGCTCTCCCTCCCCCGCCCCTAATTAGCCTCCTTAATCATCGATTCTCCGTATCGTCCGATCCTCCCTCCCCAGCACCCCATTATGAGCGTGAATTTTCCCATCAAATTGGTGAATAAACTTTCACTCGACGGATGTTAAGTTGCACTAATGATTACAGTGTGTGTGCAGTAGTCGAGCCGATTATGGTACAGCGTAAACTCTGGATTTTGAGCATGACAAACGGTAATGGAAGCGAGCTCGATATATTACAAAAGGGGTGGGTTGCACGGAGTTGATGGAAAATTCATGCGGGGCAAGGATAATTTTGTAGTTAAGTAGGTTGAGGGGATAATTCAAAATTCGAATGAAAAATGGGATTATCCAGGGAGGGGGGGAGATACGGTCCCGGGATCGATGAAAATTGGCTCGTTGTGTAGTTAGGAAATTTCCGGGTATGAATGGCGCAGGAGGATCTTTGTTAAGAGTCGGGATTAGGAGCAAATATGGTGGAAGTCGAGTCGGAATATGAATGGATAGAATACAAAGGCATACGGATGAAACAGACTCAATAATTTATGAATCGATTATGGGGGCAGATTAATATTACGAGACATTGTAACTGCCTTATGAGAGGAGCTCAGTGTGTGGAAGGGGATGAATAAGTGAATTCTCGTCTGAACTTCAAGCGCAGGGAGAGAAATATTTAATAAAAATCATGTACCTGTTCCGCAAGTCCGGGGTGAAATGTAGTTGTAGGAAATTTTACGGAACTGTCACGTAATTTTTACCTAAAATCGGGATTTTTTCAGAACGTTTCGTAATTTTACCCGAATCTACTATGCATGGAGAGAAATTTTCTAGAAAAATTCTAGGACGAGTAGTGGAAAAAAATCACAATCCACCGGCTGCGAAAAATTCTAGTGCTGCCCGAGTCGAGGGTTTGGTTCTGATATTGGACGTACACAGGTCTTTCAAGATCTCTCCAGACCTAGATGGACCTGGTGGTAAGTCCTAATCAGTTCTGCGACGTACTTTTCCAGAGACCTTTAGAATCCTCAGTTCTTTTCGGTCCTGAGAAGTCCTCCTCGATGCTACCGAGAACGCGCGATTTTTCCGGGGGGGAAGTCGGTCCAAGGGTCACAAGGGTCAAAGTGTCAGATGTTGGATTTTTCGCCAAAATCGAATTTTTTAGCCGGGTGAACGCTGATTCCAACTATTTAAGCGACGGGCTATTCAGAACTATCAAAAGTATGTGGAAAAAGTGAAAACTGCGAAACCGTTTTTTTTGGCCCCAGCAAAAGGGTCAGATTTTCGGGTTTTCCGGGGCCAGTGGATTTTCGCCAAAATCGAATTTTTTAGCCGGGTGAACGTTGATTCCAACTATTTAAGCGACGGGCTATTCAGAACTATGAAAAGTATGTGGAAAAAGTGAAAACTGAAAAAAAAATTATTCACCGGGGGCCACAGGGTCAGATTTTCGGTTTTTACTTGGAACAATGATCAGATTTGTTAACACTTTCATTTTTTATTTGGATAATGCATGCAAGCGTAGGGACAAGAGTGGCTAGAATAGATTCTGCTACCTTCTCCCCTTGTTGGGTAAAAATGTCAAGCCTCGAACTGCGAGTTCCATAATTTTTACTGAACATTTCTCTCCGTGCGAGAGACAATCGTAGTGACGTTATTGATAATTTTTTCAATATTATTCTTCATTCTATGCGATACTCTCAGGAAACATTTTCAATGTTTTGATTATCTTATTTAAAATATATTTTGTCCTAGAACCTTCAATCATATCCTAATGTCGGCTATTGATTCCAAAATGTAACTCAGTCAATCTCTGATCATCAATCAGTCAAAAATGTGATCAGTACCAAAGAAATTCATTCACAATTAACTCATATTATGCAAAATTTTATCTGTGCAGAAAGACGATAATGCTCACAATAATCGAGGAGGACTCCTACGAGAAGGATGCCCTCTTCTACGTGGAATTAGGGGAGCCCCAGCTGCAAGGAGGTGAGTCTCTCCATCACCCAATCGCCCAAATGAGCCCTCCCTCACTCAACAGAATAAATAAATAAAAATTGAAAAACTCCAAAGTTTAGAGAAAACAATTTCGAAAATCGAATCTTTCACTCTAAATTATTAATCCATCAATCGCTTCAAGTGGTCGTAATTACCCCGGGGTTGGAGAGAGTTTTCCGAGCGTGGAGAGGACGACAGTTAATCATGATAGAACGCTATGCACCTAGTTGTTTTATCGCCTCTCGCCTCCTTTTTCTTCAGCTTATTTTTTTCTATTTCGCTTTCAACTCAAGAGGGAAGAGAGGCCTCTCAGGGACCACCAACGAACGATGCAATTTAAGTTTTAAATGAAAAACGAGAGCAGTCCCCGAGTTCTTTCTTTACTGAGAAAAAAATCCATTTGGCGGTACTGAAGAGAAGAAAATCCCCAAATGCTTATTTAGCATTCAAATATTTTTCTCCTGGGTTTATTCCGTCTTTCGTTTGTACTGGGGTAATTACGGTGAATTTTATGGGGTTATGATTGTTTGGAAAAGTGATAGATACTCTAAGATGGAGAGAGGGATTAAAAGAATTTTTTTTTATTGAGAAAGACTCGATTTTGGGATTTTGTTAGCAAAATCTTGGTATTGAATGCGAAGTTATTGAGAAATTATGGATTATCTGGGGAATAAGTGGATTCGGGGGATAATTCAAAGGTCTTTTTTGTGGGAGACTTGTTTACTTCATAATTGGGTCGGAAAAAGAACTTAAATTTAGGTCGGAACTTAAATTCAGGTCTAGAGCTTAATTTAAGCTGCGACCTGATTTCAGATATGTGGCCGAATGTAGGGCAGCAGTTGAATTTAATTGGCGGCTTAAAATTTAATTAGTGACCTGAATTTAGGGCATGACCTGAATTTAGGCCATAACCTGAATTAAGGAGCTGGTTTGAAGTCAGGATGTAAAATAAATTTAGGAGATGGTATGAATTCAGGACATGAATTCAATTTAGGCCATAACCTGAATTAGGCCAGAACCTGAATGTAGACAATGGCCTGAATTTCGTCCATGACCTGAATTAAGACCATGATCTGAATTTAAGCCGCCGTCTAAATTTAGGCCATGAACTGAATTTAGATAATGACCTGAAGTATGCACATGACCTAAATTTAAGACATGAACTAATTTAAGACAATTATCTGAATTTAGAACATGTCCTAAATTAAGACAATTGCCTGGATTTAGGTAATGGTTTAAATTTAGATCATGTCTTAAATTCAGGTCACGAGCTGAATTTACACCATGAAGTGACTTCAGGTCGGTATCTGAATTCAACTTTGAATTGAGCTGTAACCAGAATTAAGACTGCAACGTAAATTTAGTTTTGGACTAAAATTCAGGTCGTAATTTAGATTCAGGTCCTAAACAAATTTAAGTCATCACTTGAAAGAATTTCAGAAAAATGATGCTAATTATTTCGCGGATATCTTTCAACCCAATAGTTGAAAAAAAAGTCCAAGGACCTTTTTCTGTAGCTGACAAAATATTCCACAAAACATATCTTCCAACATTTTCCTCGTAAAACCACTTATAACCTGAATAATCCAACAATTACTGGAATAAATGGAGAATTACTAGAAAAATAGATGAGTATTTAGAAAGCTTAAGAGTTAAGAGAACTGATCTCATGGTGTGTCTCCAATAATTATTTACCAACACGCCCTCCTAATTATCAACGTGGACTGCACCCTGGCGACTGGCCGTAAGTTCATTAAAAACGAGTGAAAAAAATTAAAGATAATGAAAGTTCAGTGGTAAAAAGTTGAAAAAATTCAACTCACATCGCTTTTTGCTAAATATCTCGGAATCTTAGAGAGATACACAAATTTTCGTCTCAAGCTTTTTTGTAGCCCACTAAATTCTCCACAAAAAAGTCTTTAATGAAAATTCTCGTATCTCTCATAGATCTGGAGATATTGCGTAAAAAACGCAAGCCAACGTTGAGTTGAATTTTCCAGTTTTTCAATATTTTCTACTGACTCTTTCGCTGCTTTTAAGCATAACAGCGCCACCATTTGCAAAATAAATTGCACGTAAAAGCTCACACAGACCTCCCATTATAATCCTAACAGCAGTAAAATGTTCTTGCTGGCTGCAGAGCGCTAGAAACCGCAGTGAGGAAAATTTTTCACGAATTAATTAGAATTTTTTCCATTAAAAAAAGATGAAATTTCGTTCTTCAGGAGAAAAAAAAATTGGATACTTCGGAGGTAATTTAATTCCGCCTGTGACGAGGAAATTAGTGCAGATGAAATCATCTCGATCGCCATATCCCACCGGAAAGGGGAATAAAAACGTGGGGGAGAAAAACTTCATTATCTGATTTCGTTGGAGAAACTTTTTTTTTCTTTTCAATGTTTTTTTTTTCTTTAATTTTCCTCGATCGTTGTTTTTCCTCGGACAATTCTTGTTCTCTCCCCATTTTACGATTTGCATATTACGAGGGACCAGGGAGGTGTGACACATGCACAACTACAGACTATTGTACACGTGCACGGAGTGCGAAAGGCACCGACGCACTCATCCCACTGTACTTCTTCAACGCTTTTATCTCATGTATATGCAACGGTATTTTAACCGCATTATCTCACGCTGGTTTTTTTTTATTCTCTGGGTTTTCACAACACCTTTGACATGCGGGGGTTTTTTTGATAAATTTGGAAGTGTTGAGAGGTTATGTTACAAGGGGCCATTGTAATGGAATAGGAATGTAATTTTGCAACAATAGCCGGAGGAAAGGTGCATTTGAGGGAAATAAAACTCTTTGTTTGAATATTTTACGTTTGTTTCAACAATATTTTTTGGTAGAAATTAATGGGCTGATGTGGAAATAGCAGGAAAAAGGACTAATTAGGAGAATTCAGGGAACTTATTTGGGTTTTCAGTTGAGGGTCAAAGGGTCGTGAGGGTCAAACGATCCTAAAGGAGGTTTAGAGTTGAGGGTCAAATTGTCTTGAAAGGCTAACGACCCTTCAAGATGTGTAAAATGCAGGGTCATTTGATCTTGAGGTTAAGAGGCAAATGACCTTAACGTTAAGGGTCATGTGACCCTCAAGCTGTGCCACTTAATTTCACCCTCAACCAGAATTCTAAAATTCAACGAAGTAATTGTGTTTGGAGAGGCAAGTGACCCTTAAAGACGTCTAAGGTCCAGGGTCATTTGATCTTAAGGTTAAAAGGCAAATGCCCTTAACGTTAAGGGTCAAGTGACCCTCAAACTGTGCAACTTAATTTCACCGTCAACCAGAATTCCAAAATTTTGCTAAGTAATTGTATTTGGAGTTGAAGGTCAAATGATTTTGAGTGTCAGAAAGGGTCAAGGGTCAAGTCCAACATTCATTTAACTTCTAGGTCCACTGATCCTTGACTTAAAACCATTTGACCTGCAATCCTAAAAATTTTTAAGGGTTATTTGTCCCTCGAGGCCATTTGAATTTCATCTAAAAACGAGGGTCAAATGGAGTTTGACCCTCAATCCTTATCCAACAGCCTTGAAGGTCAAACGATCTTTGAGAAAGCTTAAAGGATCTCTATTTTCTAAAAATGATTAATTAAATCCTAATGAAATTTATTTAATTGAAATGAACCATTTCCCGGAATGAAGGGTGAAAAAATCCAACTCATTAAATTTCACAAACAACGATATCCTCAATTCAGAGGCATTTTTTCCAAGTGTTGTTTTGACTCCGCTAAATTCCCGGCATATCTCCCATCCCATTCATACCCCCGGGAATTTAATTCCAGCGGAACGTCAGGGGGAAGGGTTTGAGGTGAAAAAACTTCGGTAGCGATAAATCGAAGGGTCGCATCCCTTTGTTCGCGGGATATCCAGAGGCGAAACTAATGCCCCCGATGAAGCTGGCAAGTGCAGATGAAAAAAAAAAAAAGTGAGCGATGAGAGGCACTCGAATGAGTCTGAAGAATAACTAAAATCAACTTTAAACCGTGCAATCCATCAGCCGAGAGCCGAAATAAAATGCCCCATGAAATATCCCAGGCATCTTGACTAATTAATATGAACCGCAGGTTAATCGATGCGCATTAAACCATCAACACGCTTACAAAGCAGTTTAGTCTCCTTCCCTAGTAGAGTTGATTGTTTCCCAGTTCATTTTTTACTCCTCTTTTGCCATTAATTTCCATCAGAGCAACGTAAATCCCGGCATTTGCAGCTCACCCCATGAAAAATAGTGACGGGTGAGGTGTGTTTATGGATCTTCGTCACGCATACTCACTAAGTGATAAGAGAAACTCGGTAAAACAGAAAAAGTTTTCCATTACTGGTAATATCCATTTGGGAATACACGTCGTAAATTTTAATTTCTGGAAGCAGAGGGAAAATACACGGGTGATTAATTGTTGGGGGAGGATTAAGTCGGAGGGGGGCAATGTTTATTATTAGAAAGCCAGCGGTACTTCCGATGAAATATCATTTTTCACACCATCGAGCTTTGGGACTGATTGATATTGATAACAGAGCATTGCGACATTTCGGTATTCTCTGGGTTTGTTCAAGGGCGTGAACAATTCTCTTCTGAACCCCAAGCGAAAAACAAATCGTCTAGTGACGTTATTCACCATTTTCGCAATACTATTCTTCACTCAGTTAAATATTCACGTGTTCTTTTAATCGATGTTTGATGGAACGTTCATCTATATAAAGCACTGATAACGAATAGTTCATATATAATTTCCATCGATCTTGTTATTGATAAATCAGTCAATTTTCTTGAATATTCAATGAAATTTGATTTCTCAGGTTCATACGACAATGGAAATTACTGAAAATCGTGAAAATTCGGGCAACTTTTTTTCTGAATTTTTAATCTCTTGAAAAATCAATTGAATGTAATGCTTAATTTTCGCGATGTGAAAATCCAAATTGTCATTGAATTTCCAAGATGAATCAGGAATTCCATGAACAATTTATTCTAAAATTCAATTCAAGT